GGGTTCACAGGGTTTAATTTACAATGTCGAAAAGTGACAGTTTGTTTACTTTAAAGTGGCCGCACGACATGTAAAAAATGTAGGGGTTAATATTTCTTCATATTTAATTCGGAATGATTTTTTATGAGTATGATTAATCTAAAAAAGCTGTAAAAATCTGTTACTTTAGGTTTTAAAGCGTGCCTTAGAAGGCGGTGTCCACAGGGTGCATGGCTCGCCGTAGATTGATAAGTTCGACAAGTTAAGGCAAGGAACAATATAACCAAACCATACGTCAGCGCGTGTTAATTTTAATCGGCCGAGTTTTGTTTTGCCTCACAAATCAGTCCATGAAGAGCTATGCAAACACTTTTTGGATCGCTAGTAACTCAGTGATTGCGACATTACCTAAAAGTCGCATAATATAAATTATTGCAACCTATTACAAATTCATATAACATTCCGTGTTAAGTTGTCAGTAGATTTATTATAACGGTAGAATTATAGATATTAAAGAGAGACATTTAAGAGAGCGAGTGATGTGCTTGTGATATAACGTTAAGGCCTTTTTTATTCAGTGCTGTAACGTATTAATAAGTCCCACAGCTGGGACGAATCCCCTAGGCGAAAGGCCAAAAAAGAAAATATTAACCCCTGCAATTAACCTGGTTAGATTTGTTCTCCTTTCCGTTGGACACATTTATATTCTTTTTGAAGGGCGGACTTGTTGAAGAAAAAATGGCGCCATGGTATTTTAGAAAATTAGGCCCAACTTTGAAAGGTAGACTTGTAATCATTGCCAAATTTTTCGTAATTTTATAGACAACAATTAACGCGTGTACCTTGTCTTCCATGAATTTGCTTCAAAATTAAAAATTCCCAAAACTCACCTGTTGACTGAAGTTCTGTATGAAGTGTCCTTATTATCATGAACACAATAACAATTTTGTGTTGTTTATAGAAATCAAGTTGAAATAAAGCCATTCAGGCAAAAGCACCTCGAAATAAATTAAACCGTGTATAATTTGTTTTTGCACTCTTCTGAAGACTGAGTAGTGATACTTTCGATTGCGAGTGAAAAAAAGTTTGTGTTCCATATTTTTTCGTAGTCGATTATATTTCTATTGTATTTCATTTTTATGTTGTGACCTACATTAATATTTTTAAATTAATTTAATTTTTATAAATGTGTCGAACGGAATCGAGATTTTGTGTGACGTTTTTGATACCCAGCACTTTTTGAACTATAATTAAAAATTTCTTGTTTCAAATCGGTTACACTGTACAATATTTTGCATCCGTGCCTTCTAAAATGTATATTATTCATTTTCTAAAGTTACAAATTTATAAGGTTTTTAATAGTCTTTGTATGAGGTGTTAATGTATATTTTTGTCACAATTACAAATGAAGAATTGATCCAATAATATTTTAACAACAATTTCACATAAAAATTAATTATTCACCAATATTAACTGAGAACATTAATAAAGTAAACAAATAGTAATGTGGTATAGACGGCCTTTTCTGTAAGAGCGATTTTCTACAAAAGATATAACAAAGATGGCAACTACAGCATGAAATGCTTTAAAACTTTGTATGGAATTCCAAATTATTTAACTAAAAATATTATTTACATATATGTCTCTTAAAATTGTGCTTAATTTCCATTAACACCTTGTATATAAAATTCAAGTGAAAACAGAATTTTATTCACTACGTATAGGTTTATATTAGTGAGATATTGTACTTAATTCAAATATAAAATGTAGCCCCTAATATAAGTACTTTCGTGGCAATACTTAAAAGAATTAAGCTTTAAAATTAAGTTACTTATTCCCTCCAATTTGTTTTACTTAATTGTGTATCAACGACAATACATATGTATTGCTCAACTTATGCTCATTATTCGATATTATTCTGTATAACATTTGGTTTGTTCCCTATTTCTTTTTTCGGTATTATTGCTGTCTTTTTCTGTACGCGGGAAAACTCACTCTGTACCTACCTACTTAGTATATAAAAAATGAAATAAACATTTACTTAGAATCATGTGTGTGTTTCATATTAATAATAGACCTTTCCCCTCCATCATAGTTATCATATTTCTTACTTCGTTAACAATTCAATGTATATTATTTTATATTCCTGCATATGTAAGAAAAGTGCTATTACTGAGTACCGGGTTTGCAGGGTATGGCTCAATTTATATTGCGGCGGGACGGAAGGGAAGCGATTTTTTTGTAACGACATTGTACATAGCATAATGAACTCTATGTAACATACAAACCTGATACGAGCCAAAACTTTCCGCAAAATTCCGCGAAAGATTTTGGCTCGTATCTGGTTTGTACGTTACACAGTTGATCATGAAGTTCATTACGCTATGCACAATGTCGTTACAAAAATTCGCTTCCATTCTGTTCCGCCGCAATATAAATTGAGCCCAAGGGTGTTGGTGAAAAACATGTAATGAAACATAATATCAGTGTTAAAAAACATTTTATTGCAGTGAAGATATTGGAATAAAGTACAGGGTTTAGTGTGAATAAATATAACTAAAGCTCATTATTTGTGACTTAAGTATTAGCGAACAGTTCTTTAGTGCATATTGGCTGAAATGTCACTTTTATCTCGAGATGCCACTTACGCTCCAAGCTATACACATAAAGTGTATCTCTAGGACGCGTGACGCACTCGTCACGCGTCTGACACAGTGTCCGTAATGATTTTGGTAGTATTTAATAGACTAATCATCATCGGCTCATCGGCATCCTGGATGATTGACTTATTTGCCGAGTGGCAGCACTCACGTAATGAAATAGGGAACTTTATTAATAAACGGAGATCTATACAACTCCCAAATGATGCGTAATCAGTGAGTAGTTATTGATGTACACCCAAGTAATATTAATTAAACCGTCTCTCATCTATGAGCCACACTGTGTCTACATACACCTTTTTTTAAATTAAATATGCTTAAAAAAAATCAATTACCAAAATCGTTAGGGACAACGTGACGCATATCCCTAATAATTTTGGTGGATTTTTTTTATTGATTTTTATAAATTGAAATGATATTTTTTCGAAAATGGTGGGCGCAAAAGCTGTGTAATCGGGTATTTGATTTGCAATACTTATTGCTGCTTGCGATGATTATCAGATTTAAAAAATAAGTTATTTATACCGATTCGATTTCGGTGTAATCAATAAAAAAAAACAAAATGGCAACTCTAAAAAATATTGGTGAGGTTCTAAAGATGAGTGACGGAAGGGAATTAACGGGCGAAACGTTACTTTCCTGGAATGATGTATATTTTACGGGTTTTAAGGGATTACATGCATTACAATTAACATGTGTTATAGGTATATTGTTTCATTTTAAATTTATATGTTATATGACTATAGCTGCGCGTTAAAGAGACACGGTCTAGGACGCTAAAGTACCAAAATCGTTAGGGACACCGTGTGACTCTGACGCGTGACGGGAAGTAAGATCTTAACACCGATCTTGCAGACACGGATTTATTAATACAGAACATGAGAGTTATTGACTTAGATTAGTAGATCTTTAGGATCAAGTTGTGTCCAATGGGCCGATCTAATTTGCATTTTCACATCGCATTTACTATTTTGATCAATTATTTCTTTCCTATAATTACGAGTATATTGAGTTGCATTTATTTTTAAATTTCTAAAGGCGTAGGAGCTACAATGATATCCTTAATAATTCATTTTGGTTAAGAGTAGTAACAAATACTGTCCTCCTTGTCATAAACAACGCACTTCCATTTTGTTAACTTTCGTAATATTGTCACCCAAAATTTTTTTTTTCTTTGAAGATGTCAATGTGAACGATGCAAATGCGATGAAAGCGCGTTTCACGAACGCGCGTTTGCGTTACTGCTAAAAGTCGCCACGTGTAACCACAGTTACGCTGATTTTGCATAACAATAAAACTGAAAGTAAATAAGGTATAAAAAAGCGCATGTAGGAGATTGTACAGTTCGTTTGTCTGATCCCAAATATGCTAATAACTCAATTTCGTTAAGAATGTCGATTGCGCTAGTTATGATAAGGAGGACAGAATAATAGTTTAATAATGCCTAACCACACTTAAATAGCGACATTTGCCTAGTTGGAAGTATGAGTACGAGGCCCGACACGGAGACTACACTCACTAAGTCACTTGCGAATCAAGTGTCATTTAGGTAGTTAACTAATTATCATTGACTTTGGCGGTGAAAGATGAAGGAAAATTGTGATAAAACTGGTATGGTTAAAAAACGTTTTCGAAGAAGTACCCGTACCTGGAGCCCTGCTCCAGAAGCACGAAATACTTAGTTACGGCCGTTTTCCCACTATGGATGACCACTGAACTGCTCTCAAAGTCCATCAACGACAAGACGGGCCCATTCGAAATTGTCAAACGGCCCGTTTGAAACTGTCACACGGCCCGTTCGAATCTGTCATACGGTCCGTTCGACACTGTCAAACGGGCCGTTCGAAACTGTCAAATCGAAACTCAAGTCTGTAAAGCTGTTTCTTGACTTGTTACATGTCGGTGTGGCAGCCGTTGCGGTATCGGTACGCTCGGTATACGCAGTACCGAAAGCTTACCGAGCGCCTATATTTCAATGTGCACTTCCTGATTGCGCGACACGAAATTATACTTTCCCGTTCCTGTCCAAATCGCGCCAATCAGGAAGCGCGCATTGAAATATAGGCGATCGGTAAGCTAAGAAACGACTTTAGTCATCCATAGTGGGAAAATGGCCGTTATTACCAATTTCGTGCTTCAACAGTAGGGCCCCGGGAAATTGCTTCGGGTTAACGTGGTCTTCTAATTGTGTTGAAACGGAATGGGTAAAAACTTATGAATTTTATCACAAATGTGTAACATACAAACTTGATAATTTCTCAAACTAGTGAATTTCCGCAGCACGGAATAACAAACTAGTGGAAGTCGTATCAAGCGGCATTGGTCTCAAAACCGGTGTCGCCGTATACACAGGCCTGTGAACTAATCTTACATTACACTACTAAAAATAATTAATAATAATAATAATATCTTGATCGGATATAATTAACACACGAAATGAAGTCCGTAGTATACAGAAAAAAAAAAATTAGTAATATTTAATGAAAATAACACTTACCGATGATATGAAACGCCTTCACCAGATATATTTTTATTATTGCTATTATTTCGACAGCACAAAACAGAATAATAAACCATAATTTGCTCAAAATATTTCTGGTTTACGTAGTGAAGCCCACGTTTGCCTCAAGAGAACGTTGACGCACATCAAAGTTTGGTTATGATAGATATATCATAACAATAGCTACAAAGGAACGCCCACTTCACACTTCCACTAGTTTATTATTCCGAGTTTCGCAGCTAAGGTATCATATCTAGTTTATACGTTACACATTTGATATAAAGTTAATAATTATACTACGTACAATTTCATTACAAAAATTCGTCCTCCCATTCCGTTCCGCGGCACAGTAAATTGAGCCTTAGAAGAAATCCGGGCCTTATATGTTTCAAAGTAATTTCTTAAATAATACTATGAAAAGTATGCAATTATCCCATAGACAGAAGTACCTCGATTATACATATTCATGCTTAATAATAAAGTTGGTTTGATTGACTTAAGATAACAAGCACATTATCTGATCATCAGAGGTAATAAGTTTGTAAGTATAATTACTAAAGCAGTCTCATTTTATACGGAAATTAATTCCAAACAGATAGAGCTGAAAATCTCTGTGTCATATTTTTCAATTTTAAGTATGACTTTTGGAGTCGTATATCGATTCTGAATTACGTCCAATACGTACGCTAAACTATGCGTTTTTTAAACTAATTTAGAGTTAAAGGAGATGGCAATGTTTTTAGATCTATCAGTCAATCTATATAATGGCAAGACGTAAATCGAACAATTATATTTTATAGACACATTATCTAGTACACACATATATTTACGCTCTATCTGCGCGGATTGTTAGGTTATAAATGCTGGAGATAATTTCTATCTAACCACCCCTAACAAGGCACAACTTTCTGATATTTTACTAAATTCCATCCATCGCAGCGCTCTATGCAATTTTTATTACTTTTCACAAGAGACTCCACCTACACTAATCATACAATAATATGATTAACTTTTAAAGACTTAAATGCGTCTTTAGTGGTAGAGTCTTTCTGTATAATGAAATGGTTATGTATAATAAGACGAGTATGGTAACTCCCTACAAACGTAGCAGTGTGACTTGTATGTGTGCACGCCCGACGCACACATTTGCATAATAATGAAAAGTGCGTGTGATGACCAGCGCTATGCATACGCGAGTGCATCGCGAAATTTTGTAAATGTGTGCGTCCGTACACGGCACGCGGCGGGCGCACACACATACAAGCTGTGCTGCATACGTTTGTATGCAGTTACTATCCATGTCTTATTATATTATTTACTACATGATGTGCAGATTACACACTATATACTACCCCACCAAACGCACTGACGTCGAAGCAACAGCAGAATATTTGTTGCTTGACATAAGTCTTGGTAAGTAGGATCACCTCTTCTAAAATTCACTGGAGGTTTTATTACAAACTCATATTTTGTTGAATTACATTTTCGAGAAAACATAATTAACATGCAACATTATTTATCTTAAAACTAAAAGGTTAATATAATAAAACTTCAATATATTCTGATGTAATGTTTCACTAATAATAATATACTTATTTTCATTTTGTATTCAGTTTTGGACGTACAGTCCAAACGCAAGACTAAATTTAAATTCGGTGTATCTGTCTCATATATCGTAAAAACAAAATAAAAACTAAAATCTTTTTTTTATTAAAAAGAAATTAACTTCTAAGCTCCATTTTGCCTGATTTAAAGTTTAGGATATAAAATGAATCGTTGTGAGACAGCACTTCTTGGAGATATATCACCATCTCCCTTCTTTGTTGTTGAACTCTTATTACTAAACTGTAATAAGAGTTCAAGGTAAGGCCGCTGTTTAGGGAACAAGTCTGTAGGCAGGGAATTCTACTACATAGCAGTTCATCGTATAAATGTGGAAGCGACATAACATTTACTCCATGGATTACTCAACGAACCTAGATGGTGTGTATAATGATGATTTATAACAAAATAAAGGTCGTCCTTTAATTGATAACAAGAAAGACAGTTGCACTGAACTTAAGTTTAGTTTGATTGAATCAACAATAGTGAAAAATTATTCAGAATCAGCACATTATATCTGTAACCATTTTTGCACACCTAAAATTTATTATATTCAACAAAAGGGGTAACACATGTGGTTAAATACTGATATCATTATCGATAATAAAATAATTTTAATAATAAAACAACCCAATAAGGAAATCAGAAGTGCTCAAAAAAGAAATTTGTCCTGCTGACACTTGCTTATATTAAAACTAATTACTTATTCTTCACCCTCATCCACACCTATATTTTAAGGAAGACCGGTGCCCAGCAGTGGCATAATACATAATATAGGCCGATACAGTATTCTATAGTATCATACACATTGATACAAAGAAAAAAATTGTATGCTTGTGGCAAATCTTTGCAATCCCAATTGCCTGCAAACTCATAAAAATTATATTCCAATAAATATTTATTTATCACTAACCAATTAATGCAATTAATATTCAATTCATAACATATCCCTCACATTTTCGTTTGACGTTTTTTCCCATATTTTACCTGACCGGTACAGTCTATAAACCTTGTCGCTTACTAAGCTCTGATCAAACTTCAACATAGCACCTTCAAACTTGTGTTGAAACACCTGCATCTGTGTTTCATTGTACCCCAAACCATATGGCGAATAGGTCTTTGGATCTCTACATTCTGTATACTTGTGCGCTCCTAGTACCTCAAGTGCAATATCACTACTTCCACCATTAATATCAAATATGTCATCAAAAGTTGTCATGGAATCTAAATTTCTTATGTATACAGACTTCAATTTTTGATTTAGCATAAAATAGTGTGTCTTTCTCATGATTTCTGGATGTCCCATTTCAGAATTATCATCATCTGCTTGATTTAGACAAAACAATAATGGTTTTACTTCTATTGTTCGTATATTCCTTCTAGGATCGAAATCATCAATAACAGTTCTTAAGTTATTATGTAATCTTGGTACTAAAAATTCATCCCAAGACAGTATCATAGCATGACTTGCTTTATCGTTGTCTTCTTTATCAAACCTAAAGTGTCTAAATAAGCAGTCTAGCTCTATAGCACTACGGACAATGTCATAAGACTTTGCAAATATAAATGGGTAATTTAATGGAAAGAACTGAATGTTCCATTGTGTGATATCCGTTGGTATTAAATTTAAACGTCTTATTATGTCTTCGGATATCATACTATCATAAATAGTAAATTGATTTACACCCATCATGTGATGAAAGACTAAGAACTCTATAAAAGAATCTCTCGATACAAGTGGTATTTGATTTGGTATCACACAGATTGCCGGTTCTATAAAGTTGACAAACTTTATACTGCTACTTTCTCTAGGCCGTCGTTTTGTATTGACTTGAATGACCTTGTTAATTGGTGCATGAATTGGATTGATGTTGTAATTGTTTAAATAGAAGCTAACACCTTTTGGTTTGCCTAAGTTTCTGTTTAAAGCACATTGAAAAACATACAAACGAAAATCATTAATAGGTTCAGACATAATTTTATATGTGAATCTTCCAGCCTTTGGTGTAGGCGCGTTTTCTAACCATATATTACACCTGAAGTCAGGTCTAGCATGTGCTTTACCTATGACAATTGTGTCAATATTATGGGCCGGGGACTGCGTTAGTTTTTCATACTTTTGGTATGACCGTAAAAATGATGAATATGAGTAGAAGTTGTCGTCTATTTCTTGAAACAGCGGCGGTGTTTCCCTTACTTCTAGCGAAGAATTTCTTAATATTTCAGATAGCATTGTAGCGTTGAAACCAGGGCCGCAAAATTCTATCTCAGATAAGCCGGGTTTGCCGAAAAAGTTGAGTACTTCTAGTACATACCGCAATCTGTAATACTCGTGGCGGTATATTAACAGCGTTACGATGCTCACGAAGCATACTACGACGAGTATTAACTGATAATACTTCCTCATGATGTTTCCCGACGGCTTTCGGTTGGTCTTCATTTATTTAACTGCATCTGACAAAAATAGGGTTGAGAATAGATTTTGATATATTTTAACATTGTAAGAAATTTGTGGAAAGCGTTTTAACTTACTAATATCTTCATTAATTTCAGCAAAATTACATGAAAATCGGAAAATAAAATTACTGCAATAAGTACAAAGCAGCTGTCAAACCAAAACAATGCAGAATTTAGATACATAATGCAAGTGAACAATGAGTTAAGCGAAAAGTAGAAAAAAAAATTAATGTAATTATTGTCGTCACTTTTCAACACAAAAACATCGTTTGCCAAATAAATAAGCGTAGTTGTGAAACTACACAAAGAATAAATACATTTGACTATTTTATTGGATTTATTGAACTGGCATTTGACAGTTCAACAAATCTAGATTACCTAAATAGCACGTGTATCCGAAAATTAAATGTCAATTTGACGTATATTTTTATTAAGTTGCCTATCCGTTGAACTGCTGTTCTATAGTGATGCCCATCTGCAGAAAAGGCTGCTTCGTCGTTTCGGTCGAAGACTGTTGAAGACTGTAGAACGGCAAGCAAGTAACAGCAAGAGGCTACTCCCTTGTAAATCCATGAATATAACAATGCCTAAAAATCATAGTATTATAAATGTTTTCAAATTTAATGTTCTAGAATGAAACTAAATTAATTAGTAGTTCTGTGGAAGAACACAGCACTATTCGAATTTCAGATTTGCCAACTGTTTGAACAAAGAAACGAAAAGCAAGCAAGTCATCGGCATTTCATGCCATTTGATTTTATTGAATTTGTAAAAAATTAAATTATTTTAGAAATGTCCGCGGACAGAGACGATACGCTGCGGCAGTTTTGTGACGTCACGGGTGCTGACGAGGCTCGGAGCAGGTTCTTTTTAGAATCTTCCAATTGGCAACTTGAAGTAAGTTTACACATTTAGCCTTTTTCCAATCAAAACAATGATTTTCTTTGAAAGAATGCTGCCATATCGCCCGTGTCAGCGTTATACTACTGGACTCACTTGTTCCCCTAAACCTAATGAGCACTGTACTAATTTTTATTTTGCACCCTGCTTGTCGCAAGTGTGTGCTTACAGATTTGTCTAAAGTTAAACATTTCGTGGGTATGTACGTTTATTTCATTTATTTGTAACAATGTGACTATGTTCTAAGCACCAACGGTAATTAATTTATTTTTTACATTATAGTCCTAAAAACAACCTTTTAAGTTATTATAAAGGCTTCACAGAATTGTTAAGGAGACTTAGGGTCGTATTCTAGAACTCTACTCAATGCTCAAGTCAGGATTGCACTGGAAACACAAGCACTGGAAATACGACTCTCATGGCAGGGACTTGAGTATGATTTCGAGTGCTTTAAACCATACTCAAATCCTGACTTGAGCATTGAGTCGAGTTCTAGAATACGACCCTTAAACTAAGAAAGAGCAGATATTAGATTCTGCCACTAATTGGACAAGACTGTTCTGCACCTTCTTACTCAAGGCTCGCCCTTAATGGACACTCAATATCACTACAGGGACATATTGTATAGCCGACAGCACATCCAACTATACAGTTTTTTAAATAGAAAATCACTATGAGACTCAGACATATTAACGTAACTCACGTATTTAAGTAGATTTTTGCTCGACTTGTTTCGAATCAATTTGTGGTCCTTAATCATGAGATTTTGCAGTGGTGACTTGACAAAAACTGTGTAGTTTTGTCCAAATGTCTCTTCAAGTGTAATAGAACAACATTTTCCCATGTATAGCTTAATGTGCTGCCATCTGTTCAAGTAAGCTTGACACTTAAGATTTAAAAACAATTCTATGTCGCTTATAATAAGAACGGTTCAAAGGGTCACCTTTGACTATATGGCACATCCAGAGGGAAACAATTGGGGCCAGGAAAATACTTCAGTTCTTGAAGACAGTAGATCTAGGGTCAGAGATGTAACAAAGTGGCAATAACAATAGAACATTTACTGGTCTCACCAATGAGGGGCTGCACAGACCTTGAATGAAGCCACCTTAATAATAATAACATTACATAGTATTTTAGTTTAGCACTTAAGCTTCCACGTCCTTGACACTTATCTTTTTATTTTTTTTAGGATGGTTACAGAGATAACAAAGCATATACAAAAACATAAAAATGTTTTTTGATATGCAGCAAAAGAATTTAATTTCTAACGGGGGATTCCCCTTGAACTGGAAAATTGCTCTGTGAAAGAGCTTGTTCAGGAAAACACTGCCACCAAGCAGTAATGCTTGCAATACTGTGATTTGGTTGTGAACAGTAAGGGTGTTGGTGAAATTACAGGCACAGACTTTTCAATTTATATCTCAGGGTGATGTTTATGATTCGAAACTCTGAGCGGCACTGCAATTGTTATAGACAGGTGTGTCACTTACCATCAGGTGCATGACTTGTTTGCCAGTCATTTGGTTAAAAAAAAACTGTTTTCAAGCCTTTTTATTTGTATACAGTTAAACTCAATTATTGACAATGCTTTTTCAGAGAAGTAAGTGTTTAAGAAATTGTAGGACATAAAATTTATCTAAACTGCATTTTCATGAATCATTATTTCTTAAAAGTGATTTGATAACTATATTTAACAAAACAAAGACTTAACATAAACTTTACTTAACAATGGGACCACTTCCATCAAAGAACAAATTTAGCTCAAAGAACAAATTTAATAAAGGATTCCCAATTTAGTATGTAAAATTATACAATTCTGTGGTAGTCACAAAAAGTACTTTTATTTTATATTGTGGTACCTGTTTTGTTTTGTGTTATAATTGGCAAGGACAATAATTTTCAAGTTCAGAGGGTTTGATTGTTATATCTAGAATATATTGGGTTCGCCAAAAAGGCTATGTGGTATCAAAGTGGAAATGAAAAGTATTTAAAAAAATTAATATCAAAATGTCATCAATTACGTATTAGTCATTTTGATATTTCTTATATGGCGAATGGTTGAAAGCGTCGAATTCCCTGCCTGCAGACTTTTTCCCTGAATGCTATAACGGGGACCTTTTCAAGGCGAGAGTGAACAGGCATTATTTAAAAAAAAGGTGTGCACGCTGCTTCGTCGACCTCATCGTCACTTTTTATCAAGTGAGATGGGGTCAAATTATTTTCTCATAAAGAAATCTATATTCTTATCCCATTTATAAGGTAATTTTGGAATAAAAATTTCACAAAAAAATTCTGTCTTTATTTATAAAATGGTCTAAGTGTCATTTCATGTTCTCTTCATTCTCAAAGAAATTTTGTAACAATCGAAACACGTGAAAATCGAACATGGTGAATGAGGTAAAACATTCCAACCTGCAAGTTTTTGACGGCTTTGCAAACAAAGGTGTGTAGGTACACCTTATCATAATGAAGTACGACATACGACAAAACTAGAAGAACTAGTGGTAAAACTAGAAGACATTATAGTTATAATTCATTGTACAACTTGCATTAAATCCTGTGTTTTTGGAGAGGTCTATATCATCAGTAGGGTATTACATGTACGATGATTATAATTTTACAGGTAGCCTTATCAAGTTTTTATGAGCATGGAGGCAACACAGACGAGGCTCCAGCGCACCCTCAAGCGCAACCCGTAGTTCTCCCCGCACTTTCAGACAGCGATATGGAGTCCCCGCCGGGATCCCCTGTTCGACCAAAGAAGGAGAAAAAGAAGACCAGCTCCAAGTTCGCCACATTGGATTCGCTGCAGCAGGAAAGCTCCAGTGATGAAGAGGAAGGTAATATAGTAACAAATTTTCGATGAAAATCAAAGTGCTACATGCATTGGGCCGAAATATGATCAGAAAACCCAGAGTCATTCAAATAATTTACGTAAATAGTCACAGGCATGATATCAGTGTCTAATAAAATGATCAATAACGCCGCAAGCGCGTGCGCAGAGGCCAATGTGAGTTGACCTTTAAATCGTTTCGTACGTTTGGACTGGAGGCACCTGATTATGGTTAGTTTAGTCTGTATATCACTCAGGTGTTTATTATTAGTTAGTTTCTAATAGCAAAATGTGCTGCATCGTTGCCTGCTACTTGGCTGAAAAAATAATTAATTACAGATTCATTCCCACGGATGATTGCTTTTTATTTCCCCGACATTTCGGAACGGTTACAGTCTTCATGGTCTCGGGTTGACTGGCCAGCAACAGATGATAGCTTTAGGAATAACTATATCTGTCTACCCTCTTTTGCTGTCGACGACTACCTTCATCTGGATTTCTTGTAACGTTACCATAGTTAGTTACTTATTTCCGACAAACCATACTCACTTGCGCTTACATCTTAATTAACATTATTTTTATGTTATTTTAGAATGGAAATCATGCCTCTCCAATGAACTTAAAATATTAGTATACCATCATTATCAACTTATTTACGCGCCTCATTTCTGGGCACGGGTCTCCTCTCAGACGAGGGTGTAGTCTATAATCCGCCACACTGGCCCATTGCGGGTTTGGGATTTAGGTTCTGAACTTCGACTTGAGGTTTCATCAAGATATTTTCCTTCACCGAAAAGCTCATGGTAACTTTCAAATTAAATTTCGCATATAAATTCAGAAAAACTCACGGATTCGAACCCGCGGACATTTGCTTGAATGGTGGTAGGTCAAACCGCTACGACGGCTTTTTAATTATTTATTATTATACTATTTTTTTTATTAGCATACATAGATCTAATTATTAATACGAAGATCGAACACTCAGCAAAAATTCCTTCGATCCGGCCGGATTCGAACCGACGTCTTCTAGCATACCGTGCCATATACCAACTAAGCCAAGGAACGAACCAGCGGACCTCACGAATTTTTCTATGTGCTTGTTGTCGTGTCTTTGTATTTGGTTTTACAACGACTTTTTAGTCGTAGCGCTATTTATGAGAAATCTATGAAAGTTTTATCACCCAGTTAGATACCTTTACAGCAACCGGCCCTGGCAAGAGATGTCGCTATTCACTGTATTTTAAATTTTTATTGAATTGATATTCAATTATTTTTTGTGAAATTACTCCACTAGTTTGTTTTATAATTTATATTTATAATTATTAGTACAAAGATCGTGAGGTCCGCTGGTTTGTTCCGTGGCTTAGTTGGTATAGCGTCTGCCACGGTATGCTAGAAGACGTCGGTTTGAATCCGGCCGGATCGAAAGATTTTTTTTGAGTGTTCGATCTTTGTATTAATAATTATAACAAACTAGGGGAGTAATTTCACAAAAAATAATTGAATATCAATTCAATAAAAATTTAAAATACATGGATCTTTTATTTTATTTTTTAATATATTTATAGTGTCAGTTCTCAGGCGAAAAAGGGAACTAAGAAAAACAATTTTTTGCGATGCTAATGCACTCGGAAGTATGTCAAGTACGAGTTATTCCAAATCGGAACCAACCAGTTCAGACACGCCTCGTATGAGTGATTCATATCGGTTGCTTAAGGAAATTGAACGATTGAGAAAAGAGAATTCTGCAATACGGAGAGAGATTGCAAGAATTAAAAGCTCTCAAGATGTGGATGAAGGTCTGAATGCATGATGTTTTAGATTAAAAACTGTTGATACATGTATACTCTAACCACGGGTTATAAATTGAATTAAAGGCCTAAAATACTTAAGGTATTACGAACCAGTAACTAATAATAAAAGTTCGAGATCTTGTTGTGAACAGTGGAGAATGAATAGAAGAATGAACCTATTTACGTTCCGCTGAAGGGAACCAGTCTACTAAGGACTGTGCTGGGGTCTTCCGTCCTGCAGGGCTAAAAAGTCCGCATTGGCAGAATCATAATATGATTAATTGAAATTTCATATTATGAACTTTCAAACAAAACAAAAAACGCAATTCATCTATTTGACAGTGTTCTATGGATACCTCCTTTAAAACACTGTCAAATAGATGAATTGCGTCATATGAATTGTAAGAAATTCATAATATTAATTGTCAATTAATCATGTTGTGATTCTGCCATTACGGCCTTTTTAGCTTTGCTGATATTGTTTAGGGATCTTTAACGGTTTCAAATATTGTTTATGAATGCAATTCTTATTGTAAATGTAAGAAGAAGTAAACTCTGAGACAATTTTGGAGGGGCCTATTCTGTGGATTGTTTGAACGGATTATAATTTTTACTCTAGCGGCCAATAGAGGAACTTTAGAGCGCGAATTCCGCATAATACCTCCAATCAACGACAGTGTAGCAGCGGGTTCAACCGCACTGGGTTCTGAACTCAACGCGATGAGTGACTTAGTAAAACTGAAAAATGAACTGGAGAGATTGAGGATAGAAAATAGTGAATTGAAAGAAGAATTAGCCTCGATTTCTGGGTCTGACACAGGTTAGGCATGGATTTTAGTTAGGTACAAGTAGAGATGTCGATTTGGTTAGAGACGTAAAGGTCTAACAAAATTGCCCCGAACAATTTTAAAGGCTAAGTTCAAAACCAACAAGATGTGGGCTCCCGTCTAAATTGGTAGAAAAAAATTAGTTGTTTCGTTTTTAGGTATATTGTCCCCTTATCGCAAATGGTGTTTACAATTTCTGAGTTTTTATGATAAAGGAGAACTTACGATTTTGACGTATAAAATGTTACTTACATCCAATTAAGAATCCCGTGTTCTTTCTTGCGTATACGATTATGACGACATAGTACGTTGTGTTCACAAGGGCGATAAGTCGGCAATCACCAACGAAGGGACAGATTCAAATTAATTTGCCCGAACGTTTTATAATTGCCATTGAAATATGGTAAATTAGATGTAAAAAAAAACATTGTGTTTTCGTATCATATTTGTAACATTTAAATACCTATCTAAAAAAATCTTATAGAAAGAATAATCATTTTACTTGAGCATTAAAACTTTTTGCTTCGACTTTAAGTATGAATGAAATTAGACATAAAAAAAAATTATCACCAGCAGTATGATAAAAATGTCGCCTAGTTTTGCAGCACGTTATACTATTTACAAGTGTGATGAAAATGAAATGTCGTAAACTACCGTTGCTAACAAAAATTTCTAGTACAGTTTTTTACCAGCTATTTCAAGGAACCCACACGCTAAACTGTTTGTTTCATATACTGAACTCGTTTTTGAAGTTTATTATTTATTAATTATAAAAAAAATGTATCTTTTAATTTTGCAGTAATTACCGTTAACTTTGTTCGATTTATAAAAAATAAATTTGCAAATTAGTGTAGACATTTAGTGTAGTTTGTAAACACTAATAGCTCGATGGTCATCTGAATTTTCCCTGAATTTTATTAATAACAACAATGTGTATTTGTACATTTGCTCGCTCAACTTTATTAGGCGTTTTACTCATTTATCTTCAATTTGAGACTTAAAGGATTCCTTTAGTGAACTGCATCTACCATCCTATTATACCATACATTTTTGACTAGTTAGTTTAGCTACATTGTGGAATTTCTTATATAAAAAAGTCTACACTACTGCCATTATTTCAGAATCCATAAGTAACGCATCATCACGTCATTGTTTAAAATAACACCACTACTTGCTTTATTATATCGTAAGAAAGTAAATATGGATTTCCGTTGTTCCAGGCCAAGCATTCTACGCGGGCGGATCGGAGCGTTCGGGCCAGCAGATATTAGGGCCAAGCAAGCCTCGGAAAGATATAGTCACCGAGATGTTTAAGAGTGTTAGAGAGTGAGTTTTTTTATATTAACACATACATGTCATCCCAGGTACCTTCCAGTGGAGTGGGCAGAGGCTATATACGACTTACTAAAAACAAAATAAAAACATTACAATGAGAAATAGCGAAAAAACTGACTGAAGTTTTGGGAGTAGATTGTAATTGGATGATGATGATAAATATCATGTATCAGTAAGAAAATTGCTTCACATTGAGATATTAACGGTTCGAATCCATGTGCGGGCATTTACGTATGACTTAAATGTCTAAATTACATACATATGTGTATGTTTGGTAGCAATACTTTAAGCTAGCGGTGAATTTAAAAAAAAGTCAAGTCCCCAAATCGCACTCGAAAAGCGTGGCGTAATAATCTCCCTAAAGGAGGAGGCTGTGCCCAGTAGTGTGATGTATAATTGGTTGATGATGTTTTTGTATACTTATGTATATCTTAGGCCCGTGACGCGGATGACCAACGCGGACGTCCGCGACAGACTGTAAAATGTTTTATACATACATTCACTTACGCATTCACAGCGACGCACAGTGGGCCCAATTGATAATTCTTGGACATAGGGATAACTTGTGGAGTATCGAGTTAAGTTTTTTTTATATGATTGATAATAACATTCCTAACAACTTTTATTCTTGTATAATTTCTTAAAAAGTTGATAGTTTCGGAGGAGAAAAAAATTTTTTTTGTATGGAGAAATATACATTTTATTTTTTAGCTCAAAATATACGAAAATGTAACGTGCGTGGTTTAATTACAGTATAGTTCCAATTTTTTTCTATGTAAAAAAAACTAATCCGTCTGCATGTACTTGCGGCTTTGTAAGTAAAGGTGCGGCAAAATTGCTAACTCTTTTATGTACTTTTTTAACAAAATACATGAGCTTCGACTAAAGAAAAATTAATTTTAGTGCAATTTAGAGAGTGTTATAACAATAACACGAACATTAAGTAGAAACTACTATATTGTGTTAAAAAATAAATAACAAATTTAACATTTTGACACCTTTTCACTCGTAAAGCCGCAAGTACCTGCAGATGAATTATTTTTTTCTTGATAGAAAATGATTGAACCTATACTTTAAATAAACCACACACATTACATTTTCCTACATTAAGAGATAAAAAATAAAATGTATATTTTTCCACGACGATTTTTTGCGACGCGGGTGCGGAGAGTCATCCAATTCATCCGCGACACACTTCGTCCGCTCGTCCGCTCGTGGAAAGTCATCCGATTCATCCGCGACACACTTCGTCCGCTCGCCCGCTCGCGGACACTCCGCGTTGCACTGTTGATGCTTATGGGTCCTATGGGTACCTATGTCCACCACTACGATTGACTTGTCACTGACTTCGTCGTTTACTTTGTATTTTTTTTGCCTTTATCAATGCTTTTTCTTTTATACGTATTTAATCTTTTTGCTTTTCCTTGTCAAAATCAACTGACGTTGTGACCTTCATCTGTCAAAGTCAGCACATACAAGTTTACAAAATGCTAAAAAAATTATCAGAGTAATAAATAAAGAAAACGAAAAATAGAATAATGTAAAAATGGCTTCGTCAGTGGATATGAAAAGTATAAAAAGGAGGAGGATTGAAAAAATGCCTTTCAAAAAGTCGTTAGTAATATTTTTTACAAAACTTATAATAGCACAGTTTTCCTATTTTCTTACCAGAGTTGCAGGAAAGTACTAAGGTATATAGGAAGTGGATAGACAGATATAGGATAGACAGACTGCCTCTATGTAATCAAATCAAATCAAAAATAATTTATTCAGACAACTACAGTTCATATTTTACAGTTATAATATTAGCTTAGATAATTCAATGCCTTTTAGTTCCAACAGTCTCGTACAGTTGATTTGGGAAGGGTACTCGCACGCTTACGACACTTGAAAACATTGGAACCTTGTTCACATCGGTTCCCGTATTTATAATTAAATGTAATTTTTTATTTGAACTTATTTATAATTTGATGTGATGTGGTTTCATTTATTTAATAGTAATTTGCTTCGTATTATAAATTCAATTCAAATTAATGTATGATAATTTTCAGTACTAACATCAAAAGAAAGAAAGAAAAGAATGACGGAATCATTTATTCAGCTTATTAACACCTGTACAGAAGAAATTAGTATTAAAATTATAAAGTGAAACAGTCCAACTCAGCATATGTCACAGCTCAACTGTGAAGCAAAGCAGTAAAGTAGTTGAGCTGTGACGTATGCTTAAAGCGTAAAGGTTTTGAGTTGAAGACGCTTTTATAGGATAAGATGGCACAATAGCACTGATGTGGGTTAGCACTAAAATTATAATTATAACGTATTACTAAAAAACAGCTAAAAATAAGTAGGAAAAATTCTAAAAGTGGGAATTATTATTACATGAATTTAATGTGTGAATTACTGCACTTGTTAGACATTTATGCAGAAGAAACTAGAAAAGGCTACCATTATTGCATTGACATGGTCTGAAATAAAAATATTAAGATTTGAACGCATTCTCTTGCCTACTGTGGCGAATATATACTCGTATTTCGATCGTCAATCAATAGAATCGGGATGGTTATTATTAGCCATCGAGTATATAACTAGAAGTAGAAATGAAATAAGGGCCATATATTCCTGGTAACACATTGGCGATACAGCTCTTATAAATATTAACTCTCGTTTGCACTGAAATATAGACAGGCCAACTACTGACCTGTGTGTACGTCTCCGTATATTCCAAAAAATATTCTGTATTTATTGTAATAAAGATAATATCTCTACAATGCCGTGATGTTCTATTCGGTGGTGTGGGAAAAACAGCAAAACATCTAAGTACAAAACAAACGGAATCACATTTAATCGGTAATTAAATATTAAATATGTAATTTTCGTCCATTATAGCAAAGTTCAAGTTAACTGGTCGATTTGAAGTGAAACAGTTGACGACACCCGTCAATTGTTTCGAACTCAGGCTAGCCAATCGGAGCGCAGTTGTCACAGTAATGATATGGCAGAATAGTTTTCAAACAAATTAAATGACATTTCGCCTCTATTTCTTGATATATTCTGGAAGTTATTAGCCATGTTTGATCAATATCTGTTCAGCTGTTTACAGCATTTGTGAACCGATTTTGATGATTCTATTTTTGTTGGAAAGTGGGTACCTCAGAAGTGGTCCCATTTAAATTTGAAAAAATATTCTACCTCTAAGGGTGGCAAACTAAGGATTGAATGACTTTTGAGGTCGGTTTTTTAGTAATTTGTAATTTAGTGCACAAGCGACATCCGACGTGGGTCCGAGTTTTGTATAGAATAATAGGCCTTATTCAGAGTGGCGGCGGGCGCGGGTGTATGTAAATCAAATGTACGTAGTACACTCCTTGTGTTCACAAAGGCCACGCGCGTCGCGCGGGTTGGCTCGGTCTTGGTCTAGCGGCAGTTTGCGATTTCGGCGTCTGGATCTACCCGCTTCGGCACTGTGGAAGACGCCAAGAGCCGCGCGCCCGCACCCGCCGCCGCGCCTGCGCCTGCGCCTGCGCTCTGAATAAGCCCAAACAGTGCGCAAATGCGTTAAGTGTAGGGATTTCAGTCACAAAATAAATATTTACTTAACTTCCACTTCTTCGATAGACTTGAAATTTCGTGTACTATGGTAATCATGATATGATGATATTACAATAATATGATAACCTTGATGTGATACTGAAACCAGGATAGTTTGTCGACTACCCAACTCCTTCTTGTTATAGCAGAACAATAGTGTTTAGGTTTATTAAATTGGCCTCTACGAATGACTTACGACATTGCGACATGGTCCTTATAAGAAGGCTCTAATTCACTCAAAGGGCTATGCTTGGAGTTTCATTGCGAGATCGAATCAGTAATGAGGATGTTCGCAAGGGAACCAAGAGTAACCGACATGGACCAAAGAATTGCAAAATTAACTGGCAGTGGGCAGGGCACACTGCTCGCAGAACAGGCCGATGGGGCCGAAGAGTTCTCGAGTGACGACCGCGTACCGGTAGACAGGGTGGACTGATGATCTGGTGAAGGCTACGGGAATACAGGCCATTGTGCCATTCTTTGGGCGAGGCCTATGTTCAGTAGTGGACGTCTTTTGGTTTAAGTGATGATGATGAGATGGTGACTTTTTGGAGTACACTGTTTTGTATCAGGGGTTTTTTAATTTTTATTTAATTAGATTGGACTAATGGCACATGTCACATTAGCGGTTTTCTTATGTGCGGTAGCAACTAACATTGTATTTTTTTTTCAGGCGTGGGGCCGTAGTGTTCGAAGATGAACCAAGCACGACGAGTCGGGGACAAGGGCAAGTCTTCTCAGGCGTCGGATACAGACTAGGTATGTGTTAACACAAATTATACCTGAGGCGAAAATCAGTTTTTCTGCGTAAATAGGCTTATTTGACAATGAAACTATTTTTGCGGATTGAAATAATGTATATTGTTTTTTTAAACAAACCAACGTTTCGGGATTTCTACAAGTCCCATGGTCACAGTTGACATTGATTGTTTCAAACAATAAACATACATGATTTAGGCATGAATAAATATTTTCATTTAACGATTTATAAGCATTTAAGCAGTCTAAACGTGATATTTTAATTAAATTCTTTATTAACTTAAATTACAAAATAAAAATTATTTATGAAAGTTATTTTTTGATTTTTATAGTGGGTACATACAAAAAACAAAGGGCGTTTAATATAGTTTCAGATATAGAGGACCTGATTTTGTTACTACCGTTCTTCAATCTCAACAGATTTATACTAAGCGCCACTCTACAGTGTTGCCATGTCGCATGTAACCAGAATAAAAAAAATACATGGTTTAGTAGATTTTTAATAATTTTTAATTAAGGGACTTGAGAAATGAAATTGTCAGCCGTGACCATGGGGCCTGTAAAAGGTACGACACCTTGGTTGGTTTGAAAATACAAATATACGCGATTTGGTCCCGAAAAAATAGTTTAATTTCCTATATGTAACAATAGTGAAAACCTAATAACTCGATAAGTGAGTTAGGTCATGTCTAAATATTTTCGGGACTGAAAACATCAGAGTTTCAATAATGCCAAAAAATAGTCGAGAGTCTGGGAATTTCCTAGATGACAGCTCTAGTAGTCGTTGGGCTGATACACTTTTTAATTACAATGTTTCAGGCCAAACAACCGATGATCACGAACAAGTTGGACCACCAAACACGCAGCAGACAGTAAGTATTTTAGAATATGAAATACGTTTAAGCAGAAGACCTTGCTAGAGAAGCTTATAATATCTAGAGTACCAAAACGCTTGCAAGTCAAACTGATAAGCTAAAAAAGAAAGAAAAATTAGATAACAAAATAAAATTGGATGCTTATAAGCAGTAACGTGTCAACCATCATGATCATAGTTTTATTTAGTAAAGATTTTTTCTTTGTGTTTGATAGTTTGTTCTAAAATTTACTTATAAAATTGCTTATGCGGTATTTCGCCTCGTGAACACAATTGCACACTACCGCGAAATCACGTGTACAATACCGAACATTGTATTAACCGCCGCCCCGAGTGGACCTAATCATTTACTGCGTTCAGCGATACCCACGACGTTGTTATGCGTGTCGCGGCTTCATTACTCCACAAAGTCTGTCGATATTGTGAGGTATATACGGCTGAAAGCCAATGCGATCCTGAGGGTCGAGCGGTTGGGGTCCCGCCACAATGTGAATTTTAATTCATTTGTGGTGAGAGTACCAACTCAACATCTGTCGACCTTCATGAAGGATGAGTTTTGGCCGAAGGGTGTCATGCACCGATGTTTCCGAGGCTGTCTACTGGAAACCCACGTTGCGTCACACATCGCAGACAATACGTGAAAATAATAATTAGTCATTATGTGTGTATGTATTTATGGGTCTTTGTAACCTGAATACAAATAAATAAATAAAAATTAAATTAAACCTGCAGCCTGACGTAAAAAATATTATTAAAAAAAATTGTTGACAGTCAACTGTGTTACAATTTTATTAGAATAATTTTTTTTTATTACTTTATAAAGTATGTTAATTGGTTGAGGCGACGGCTTTGTATACTTTTACTTGCGTATACCTTTTTATATTAATACTAGTTGTGATAAGTACCGGAAATTCGTAAACTTGCGATACATTGCAGCAAATGTCCGGTGACGCGCGGTCGGTGAGACTGCGGCTGTACCGCGAAGGCTTCACAGTGGACAGCGGCCCGCTGCGGCATTACAGTGATCCCGAAAACGCAGAGTTCCTCAGCTGCATACGCCGAGGGTAAGTGTGCAGCTGTGTGCTAATACTTTTTATTAGGTATCTATGTTATTTCCTTGATACTTCACATCGGCGTGTTTTGCATTTTGCACTTAAAATGGTACTAATTTCAACTTAAAGACTATATTACTAAGGCCAAATAGTTAAATTTTTCTATGGTATTTATAAAATCCATCTCATGTGAAGGATCGATATTAAGATCCTACTTAAGTCAACTGTTATTTTTTTTAATCACACTTGCTCGTTGGTGGCGAACTTAACTATAATGCCCCAAACAAAACCCTCGGGCCTTTTTTCTACTCATTACAGCCATGGTCGGTAAAGAGTTTTTTTAAATTATTTGTAACACAACATACTTCCATAAATAAGTCCAGTTCAAGTTCAAGCAAAGAGGTTACTTAGGTTAAAAATTAAAACATACACTTAAAATGTTATTTAAACAGAAATTTAATTGCCATTCAGCCACATACCACTTTAATATTAGGGGTTAAAGTATGAAATTGCCGTTTTATTGCAATAGGTTCTTTGAATTTTCATAGAATCTTCATGGTTTGAGGTTTTCGAATGAAACTTTTTTCAAATGGTTTCTGTGATTTTTTTTTTTTAAATTTGAAACATTTGAATATCGACTTTCAATTGTTTTTGTTATTCAATTTAGACAAGAAAGATGTATACTGCGAAAATTCGAGTGATTTTTGAATACGAGTTCCGACGCGGAACTAACGCGGCAGAAACAGCTCGCAATATCAATGCTGCGTTTGGAGAGGGGTCTACTAATGAACGCACCGTGCGATTTTGGTTTAAACGCTTTCGTGATGGAAATTTCGACTTAAAGAACGAGCCACGAGGAAGACCGCCCACACAGGTGAATAACGATGAATTAAGAGAGATACTGGAAGCCGATCCTAGTCAAACTACTCAGGAATTAGCGGCATGGTTTAACGTTACCTTACCCACAATATTGACTCACTTGCGTCAAATCAATAAAATAAAAAAATACGAAAAATGGGTGCCTCATGATTTGACTGATCTGCAGAAAGAAACGCGTGTTGAAACTTGTGTTGCCTTGTTGAACCGGTACAGAAATGAAGGAATATTGGATCGAATTGTAACATGTGATGAAAAGTGGATTCTTTATGATAACCGGAAAAGAAAAATGCAATGGCTGACCCCAGGTCAAATGCCACAACAGTGTCCTAAAGCAAAACTTACCAATAAAAAGGTAATGGTAACTGTTTGGTGGTCTCAGCATGGTTTTATTCACTATAGTTTTCTCCGATCTGGTCAAGCAATAACGGCAGATGTCTATTGTGCCGAACTCCGAACCATGTTGACAAAACTAGCAGTAAAACTGCCCCGACTCATGAATCGATCTTCACCATTATTGCTCCACGACAACGCGAGACCTCACACAGCACGAGAAACCATTTTGACCCTTCAGGAACTGCAGTTAGAAACCATTCGTCATCCTCCGTATTCACCAGACCTTGCTCCAACGGACTACCATTTTTTTCGTGATTTGGACAATTATCTACGTGACAAGAAGTTTTCTTCCCAGGAGGCAGTACAAAATGCTTTCACACAGTTTGTGCAGTCTAGATCGTCGGAGTTCTATCGCAAAGGCATTAATAACCTTCCCATTAGATGGCAGCAATGTATAGATAATAATGGCAACTATTTTGATTAAATAAATTTGTTAAAAATTTAAAAAATAAACAATTTAGATTTTCAGTACAAATCGGCAATTTCATACTTTAACCCCTATTACTTATTTTTTCGGGTGTCATTTGTGTGTTTGTCTATGGCACCCGTGATGCAGAGTTTCCCTAGTGCAGGACTATGAGATATGATTATTGAGATGGCATCCTAGATGGCGAAGATTATTGTCTGTTAACACACGAGAGCTTGCTTTTGGAGATGTGAGCAGCAAATACGTACTTAAAACCAGATTTAGTAGTTTTTATTTTTTCTGTAATGTATGTTGTTTTTTTCTTCAATATTATAATTATTCGTCGCTTCGTTATTAGAAAAGTAACATTTTGGGAAACCGATATTCGACGATCCTCTTTACATGTTTCTTACTAACTTGCCAAGAAACTTCTTTAACTCTAATCATTTATGATCTTGACATCATACTGCAACCGTGATGTTTTTTATAGTGAGATTCCATCAGAGCTGTCTGGAGGCGGTGAGGTGCGCGTGTCGCTGGAAGACCGGAGACACGAAGAGTGCCCTCGAAACGCCAGCAGGGCTATGCCTTTCTCGGGGAAAGGTCATCTGCTTGGCAGGTAGGTGTATTGAATTGAATGTAACCTCTTCTAAAAATGTCGACGGTTTGATTGAGACGTGTGGCGATGGAAGTAATCTAGAATTAGGAAGGTCAAGTGCCACTGGGTGGACTCAAAACTGGAGGATTCTAGTCAGATCGAAGGATTTATTCTTTGTCTTTGTTCCACCTATGCATCAATAATAGCAACAAACTATAAAATATCTTTATTGAAGACAGTAAAATGACATTTGTAGGGTTGCCAGTTTTTATAAAATTAAAAATGGTCATAAGTTGTTGTCGATAGTTTTATGGATAGATTTTAAAAGAAG